AAATTTTGAGTAGTTTAGAGAACCGGTAAATACCATCTCTGACTGGCCCCACCCCCATCTATTCTCTGCCTCCTGAGTCCCAACTGATCAGGAGGAAATGGGGATTTTACAGTATCCTTCCCCTGCCAATGCCCACCAAGCCATGCTCACTAAGCCACACCATGCCCACCAAGCCATGCCCACAGAACCAATAGTAAAAAAAAATTGAATCCCACCACTGAATCCCTTGTAGTTATATTAGATGTCCTGAACTCTTTTGTCAGTCTTTGTGTTGAGGTTATTGTATTGTTTCTGGAGCTTTCTCTGGTAAGCTGGGAACCAGAAAAGGCTTCTACACAGGTTGCAAAAACCCTTTCTGGTGTTTTCAGGGAATCTAGTCTAGGAAATACACCTCTGCATAGTCTCAAGGCCCTTCCTACTGCTTGACATTCAAGAAGTCCCAGAAATGAACTCATGAAGCACCTTTGATTTATTCATCTGAGCTACTTTGTTTTAAAAGCTGCTTTTGGATGCTTTTCTTGAAGCTTTGGTCATCCCTAGCTGTTTTCTTTCCAACCCAAACACCAAGATTTAGTTGTCAAGAATTCACTTTGAGTGTGGGCCTTTAGAGGAGAGAGAATACCCTGGCACCTTTGAAGTTAATTAGTTTATTGTAGCAAAGACAACAGAGGGGTGGTTTGTGCATATGGAAACTGACAACTGCAAGGCCAACCAATTTAACTGCTTCTCATAGCCTTCACTGGGATGCCAGCTATGCATTGCCGAACACATGCATGCCATTTTATTTCTTGATTTTTCCTGCACATGTTTAGGGACACTTGTGAATTTGGTAAGGCAAAATGAGACAGAGGATTTGTGAGCAATAACACCTCTGGCAAGCGGGGAAGGGAAGGGGCTTCCTGATGAGCTGAACTGTTGCTCAGAGCAACGCACAACAATACAGGCCACGAGGTTCATTAGAGACAAGTATGTGGGAAGAGATTCGTTTCTGACACATACTTTAGGGGTTTCTAATTTCTGCTGGTTTAAACATTATGAAATAAACAACCAGTTCTGGTGTTCCACCAGTAAGTTCCATCTAACTGGGCTTTTAGGCAGATTCCAGAGGTGGTATTCAGCCAGTTCTCTCCGGTTTGGGCGAACCGGTAGCAGTGGCTGCAGGAGGCTCCGCCCATCCACCCTGACATAATGCATGAGCATTGTGCATGCGCAGAAGATGATGCTCATGCACAGAAGAGGTACATGCAAGTGATGCAAGCACGCTCACATTTGCAAACCAGTAGGGAAGGTAAGTGAATCCCACCTCTGGCAAATTCCCCAAATCATAGCTGGAACGTTGGACCGTGATGGAGTATGATGTGCTAAAAGGAATTCAAATCTTTGCCTTGATCAGGTATGAAAATAGCCCCGAGCCAAAAGCTTTCACGTACAATCCAGTAGAGGTGCTTCATGGTGGAATATTTTTTTCAGGAACATGAATATTTTTTTCAGGAACACTTTTGTAAGGGGAAAAAAGGCTGAGGGGTGAAAGCCACATGCCCTCCAAGAGAGATTCTCAGTCTTCCCTCACGGCTCTGCAGCAAATGCCAGGCCTCTGCAGCCTCTTAAGGGAAGGCAAGCAGCATTTCATGGTTGAATGGGCCCTTCAGCATCTGATCCTTCACTACACTGCAAGCAACGGACAAGGAAACTGCTGCTACGGATATGACAATAATGCTGGCCCATATTGCCCTTCTCTGATTGCCGGAACTCATGCTCTGTTGCTGAGTGAGGGGAAGGACAAAAGCTAGCAAGGCGTACAATAGTAACTCTGAAGAGCCAGGAAGACTCAGGCAGTTTGAATAGAAACGGTTTCATAAAATGGCTGCAGTGCTCCTTCCTTCTGTGCTGCTGCTGCTGCTGCTGCTCTGACTCATTGTTGTGATTTTTTTCAGCTTGGTTCCTTGGAAGTAAATCCCATTGCTCAATCACCCACAATTCACACGATTAGACATGTAATAGGTTTGTAGTGTAAAGTCTGATTCCACCCCAAATAAGACAGTAGAAGATGCTTTTTGTATCTATTAGATCTTCAATAAGGAAGGACAGAGGCTCGAAGGTAACAGTAACCGTTTTAATAACAAGAACGTTGTAACAGTAACAAATGCAGTAGACCGNATGCCCACCAAGCCACGCCCACAGAACCAGTAGTAAAAAAATGTTTGAATCCCACCACTGATGCAGATCCAATGCAACTACCAAACATTTTGCAATATACAGGACTAGGAAAAACAATTAGTGAGCAGAAGCAAATGGGCCAGATCATTCTTGGGGAGCTTAGCTGTCTCTATTTGCTATACTCTTCAGATAGGACAAAGTTACGACAGGAAAAGATTGCATCTGTACACGCACAGACCAGCTCTCAAAAGCTTCTTGCTTCCTGCTCTGCACTGAGTGATGCAACATCTCATGGTGCATCAAATAATTTGTATGGAAGGTTGCTAGGCTGTGATTTTGAGGGATCCAGCTTAGGGGGTGAAGAAATGGGTATTATTTTCTTGAACTGAATTTCCACCTGCTTCTAGATTGAAACATTTCCTTTTTTCCAGATCTCCTACCTGTCTCAGGTCAGCCACACTGTATTTATGGGGACACTCCAGGAGATAGTGCCAGTGGTCAAGCCTTCAAAGAACAACATCATTAGTATATTAAAATTTGTTCTCCACTTCATCCCAAGCGTTTTATACAACATAAAATAAAACCCTGATGAGACAACAAGAACTCTTGCTTCATTTCTCGTGCTCCATTTCTGCACACCAGCTGATCTCTTAGGCTTCTTTGTTCATTCTTCTTTCAATGTGTGCCATTCTTCCCAACCCTTACTTGCATCAAGCTATTGTATCACAAGATACTTTTTACCTGGCCTATATTTCTTGATCTCAGAAATATACCATTGCTCTATCCATTTTTCAGAGATCACCAGAAACACGCCGATGGTACTCAGGGCCAAATTGGATACTGATACATTGGGATTTTTTCTTTTAATTTTCTAGCAACATTTTTTCTACAATGAGAATGCACACTGTATACATATCAAATTACACCGGTTTGGATTTAGCAAACCAGACCCAACAACATCCCCAGAAGTTTTCTGTGTCATCCAATACAAGCCCCTATCCTCCTGACTTGAAGAGATGGAAACAATATTGCTCTTCTTCTGCTTTTTTCTCTTGCAATGCTTCTGGAATCAATTTAGGACCAGACTACTTTTCACACAGAAAGAGATAGCTAAAGACTACTCCAAAACAGCCAACACTGAAACAGAAGTATTCCACTGCTCCTGCTGAGTAATCATGTGTCACGAGGATGGCAATAAACTTGGGAATGTGCACATAAAAGAACTTCTATGGAGGAAGCTGGGTCTATGGAAGGGATGCAAAAGGCATCTGCAAGTGGCAGTAGGAATCCAGATCCACATACAACCTCTGACTTAATAGCCAGCATCATTTGGAAGCAGAATGCTTACTTATTCTTGTGTCGGAAGGCTGGAGTCAATTCAGATTAATATACTGATTTGGAGAAGGCCCTCTAATGCCTCTGGCTCACCTCTTACTGATCTCCTTCAGGGCGCCACTGCGACAAAGGACAAGGTAATCACCCAGGAGCTTCAGCTGCTCACGATTCTGATAGATCTGCTTCATTTGCTCTACATGGTCATAGAGGGTTTCATTCACCAGCTTCAGGTCAATCAAGGGTTGATTTTGAACCCTTTTTGGCTAGGAATTTCAGAGCCTGGCAACAAATCTGACAGAGACAACAAGATGAGAATGTTCCTGTAAAAGCCTCTTGCAGCACTGATCAAATAGGCCCAGCAGAGATTATATTGGTATATAATTGGTATATATACTGGTTCACATTCTAGTAAGGACCTTCTTATCATTTGAACTGATGGTTTGTTTGTTTGTTTGTTTGATTAATTGATTTCCTGCTCATCTCACTCCAGACAGTTTATAATAATAAAAGGGTAGAAAATGAAAAGAGATTGTGTTCTGACAACTGAGATTGTGCCTTGAGAAAAATATACTTTTTCTATTTACTAAGCTTGGCCATAATTAGAGGATATTAAAAAAAAAAAAAAAACAAACAGCTGAAAAAATGAAAAATCCTAATCAGAATGCTACCTTACTCATAGATTTCTCATTTTATGGTCCTTGAGGTAAATCAGCGTTTCTCAACCTTAACAAGTTTAAAATGTGTGCACTTTGGTTCCCAAAATTTCCCAGCCAGCACTGGGGAATCCACTTGCTGAGGTTGAGAAACACTCAGAGGGAGGGAGGGAGGGAGGTCACATTTTGCTCGTCTGCTTTTTAAAATCTGCACTTATTTGCGCTAACTTGCAATGCAGGTAGGGCACAAAGGAAGGAGATCCTTACAGATGCTCTCAAGCTTTTCTCTTTCATAATGAAAACTACAATCATTTTGTGACTATAGTTGTGCAGGTGGGATTTAAAAAAGACATGAGAAACTATTTCACATTACCGAGCTTATATACCCCCCTCCCACCATAACAGGGCATACCGGATATCTGGAAAGATCCCAGTTATGAATTAGACGTGAAGGTATCACAGACTCTTCATCTTGGTGGCAATTGTCACAGTAATAGAGGCCGGTGAATGAACACAGCTTAGGCTTCATAAAGAAGAAACCAATCTGCCTGGAGCAGCCTGGAAAGGAAAGAAAATGTAAGATCATCTTAAATTGCCAGAATCTGACTCTTGGCTATTGGAGAAGCTTCTTTTATTTAAGACAGCCTATTCCGCAGCTGCTGTCTCCAGAGAAGTCAGTTTTCAGTAATTCATTTGCTGACTAGGCCATTGCCTATAGTAAGAGGAAGATATTAGAGCTGAACCAAGGCTCAGCTATTGCTCAGCCTTAATCTCGAGATCTGTGCTTCTGAAGTATGAGGTGCCTGGGTGTATAATACGTATATAAACACACTCACACACAGACCTCCTGCCTTTATTAGACAACGATATATTTTTATCTACTGCTCAATACATATCAAGAAAGAACCCTCCTTTTTCCTGTGTTACCTTTTTATTTTTAGTCGAAAGAAAGCCCAAGGCCAAAACTATCTTTGGAACAGAACTATTTGTTGTTCTGATTTTAGTGGCTAGAAATATAATAATGTACTTTCCTCTGTGACTGAAAAGAAAGATATGCTTCAGAAATGAGGATATTTAGCCTTATCTTTCATAAAAGTGTAGCCTCTTGTCCATTATTTAGTTGTATTATCAGATTTACTACTAAAGGCGTAACCCTTAATTTTTTTCTTGTTCACAAAATTATCTTAGGAATAAAATGGATCCCAATATTTTCTGGTTAATAAAAGTTCCTGCACTTTCTTGCAAGAGACTCATAGGCATTATCTCATCTCGAGACTGAGCGCTATACTGAAGGATTCTTGGACATTTCCCAGTTATCCAAATTGCAAAAACTGGATATTTGTTAAATAATTACAGATACAAGAGTAGTTGAACGTAAGCAATGAAAAACTAAAAGCCAAATGTGTTATTCATTCATTCATTCAAACAGAGAAAAGGGTAGTTGTCACCAAGTAGATTAATCTACGGTCTACTTAGAGATGATGATGAAGATTATGAACTAGAGAACAATATCCAAAGATGACTTCACAAACTGCATTTGTTCATAAGACCTGCCTGTCACGCAACAACTGAAATTTGGGTTTTTTTTTCCGTATCATCAGGAATAATTATTTCAGAAATTTGGGATTGCCTGGGAAAATATTAGACACTGTATTACAAAGGTATTCACAGTTTTTCTTCTGGATGTCAGCAGAATAGATGGGTGATATCTGGAAAAAGTGATCTGGGAAAGATGACATCATTTCCTAATAAATATGACATACAGACTGGCTCAAAGCCAGGAATAAGGCACTGGAGCTAGGAGGAAATGAAGCCAAGGACAGGAAGTTTCAGTGCAGCTGCAGGAAAAGCATTTCCGGAATCAACATCATTCGTTCATTGTGAGGCCCCTAGCATGTGATTGTGACAGATTTACCATTTCTCAATTTTATAAAAAAGTGCTAATAAAAATATGGTAATACTTTACATGTATGATAAATCTGTACAGGTATAGTAAGTATCTATTTGTATTTAAATAGATTTGTTTGCCGTTTCCATATCATTTTTTTCATCTTGGATTTGTGTGAATTTAGTAACCTGTTAGTGTTTTCTAATGATAGTTCATTAAATACCAATTTTTAAAAAATGTAGTGAGACACAATGATGTTCTCAAGTCCCCAAACAAAGAGTTAATATCCCATGATAAACAATTGACTCAACGTCCAAAGGGCTGCGTCAGGGAGATTCAGAAAAATCATTTAAAAAATAATAATAATAATGCTTTTGGGAGGCTACTGAAAATTAATGTCTATTTGGCATGCCAGAGAGTATCAAACAAACAAAAGCCCCACAGAACAAAACTAGCAATTCTTACAGGGGAGACCACTGGTGAGACTGGTGAAAGAAGCTGGTCTGTTCCTGGAAGGCTTCCGTCAGAACCATTGACTTCACTGGCCCAGGTTTTAGTTCCTCCCTTGATGTTGCAATGAATTTGGGCCACATCCACAGGTTCTTTGGTCACAATTATTGTGGCTAGCATCGAGGTCTGTTGGACACTGGTACTACTAACAGATTCTCCACTCTTAGGTAAATTGGGAAGCTGTGAATTTGTCATTAATTCAGTTAGCATGATGTCAACAGAAGCTTCTGCCATTACAGTACGAGGAAGGTGCGCAGTGCAGAAACTGGTGGCAGGGCCGGGGCACTCTGGTGGGGAAGACCGAGAGACAATGTTTGCTTCATGAACTCCTACAGATTCCAGCTTTCTCTGTGTCCTGGTAAATTCTGCTAACACTCTGGAAAGAAATAGAAACATTTAAAACATTTGGAAGAGAGAGGTCATCTCCAGTATTCTATCTCTCAATTTGCCACACGCATTCCACAAATAAGGTATCAACGATGACTGAAGTTTAGTCACATATAATTCAATGCATTCAATAACTATTAATTTGCTCTTTCAAGCATCAAAACTGTTTAAATACATGAATAAAATTGATGCAGTCTATACTATGTGTTAAGTTGGTCTAAAGCACGGGTGTCAAACTAGCGGAGTCATGTTGACATCATGTCATGTATCACAACATTTCCCCCCTTTCAGTAGCTGGGGTGGGTGTGGCCTGCATGTGACGCAACCGGCTGGTGGGGCACCAGTTTGACACCCCTGATCTAAAGAATTAGAATCGGCAAGTTAAATATCCAGCATGCACAGTATTTTGAGAGTGAATATTCTAGTGCAGACAAAATAGATAGGAATTTGGCCATGTGTTCAAATTGCTCCTTAGTTGTGGATTTACTGAGTGAATCATCCAGACAAGACTACAGCTTTCTCAAATGCTGAAAATGGTGCCACTGTCAAACCTATAATTGATAAACTCTTACTAGCATATAAACATTTTCAATGTTTGTTTGTAGATAATGCAACATACTAATTATAAAAAAACCTATGAACTACTGATTATGCTGCTGTGATGTAACGTAAATGCTAAAAGAAAATCAGAACAGTTGTCGTGAATGAAATGGAAAGATTGTTTAATCAAGGGAGCACCTCATTGTGTGGTTAAAGTAAAATGAACAAACAGGATCAATGATAGGAGACGCAAGCCTCTATCTGAGGTTTAGAAAAAGGACAGAAAAGATATGCGGG